AAAGAAAGGGACAACGTTGAAAATCTTTGCACATGTGTACATATACACAGTATATATATAACTATCAATATAACTATATATATATATATATTTAAATAATTATATTATATATGTATGGAATATGTATGGAATTGTATGGATATGTAAAAACAATGTTATTAGCATATAGACTATATCGAAGGAAGCAACGCCTCGAAACTTGAAAACGGGTTCCACCTTCCAAGCAATGGATCTTCTCGAAATTACAACAATAAAATACCTAAGGAACCAAACCTTCAAGCTACTTCTGTACCAGGACGCTACGTGGGGGTGCAGTTCCAGTTACAGGTGAATATTAAACTATCCATCTATCCATAGTTGTAACAGGTTATGTAATGTTATATATAATATAGGTATGGTTCAAAATTCAAGCCCTATGGGACCACAGATTCCGGCATATGTTCAGTATTAACCATCTCATTATAGGGGTACCCAATGACTTGGCCCATACAGTACCTATATCCCAAGCTCTGGAGGTGAACTCACCGTACGGTGCGTTTTTTTTCCTCCGCACCAATCTCGTCTCACCTGGCGCGCCAGGAGCCGCTGTGCCAAAAGAAAAGCGGGTTGATTAAGCATTGATTGCCTTGATTTTTGTGGAAATATGACTTCAATTATCAATTGTTTTTTCTATCATGGGAATTCGATCATAGTCACTTTTCGAAGGTCGTTCCAACCCATGATCGTGTACAGTGGACTACGTCTTCAGTCAAGGATTCCACCTCTGTCTTCAGCCCCTTCCCCTACCGTCTCCTTCAGCGTGCCCGCACCGCTTCACCTGATCCTGAAGCCTTGGGTCCTTTCCTCTTGCGGCCGTAACCCTTGTAACCTGGGCTGTGAAGGAAATGGAGATATTTGACATACTACTACCCTGCAGTAAACGAACATAGCTATGGTTAAATAGCTGCATGACGATGCCCATCAATTTTTTTTGAAAATGTTTTACAGTAGCTGAAGAACGGTGACTTTTCCGGTTCGCTAGGGGTGGTAGTTTACCAGAGGGTAACTCCAATCACTAGGCTTTATGGGTGGTTTATCGTAGATATGGGGTGAGACTGAACCAACAAACATCACTGGGCACAAAAACAGATGGGAAAGGAGGTGTCATCTCCAAGCTGCGAGAATCTCTCGACAATTGGCTGGGCGCCCCTTTGGTGCTTCTACACGCTATAAACATCACTCAGGCGGTTGAAGTCGAGTCACTTAGGAAGGTCTTCGTCCCATCAACAATCGGTTCCGGAAATGTCCACCAATATTCCCCAGAAAAAAATCCGAACAATATATTCCCATGAGATTCCCATTCTACCACCATGTTTGGCGTTAAATTCACCAGCACGTCCAACCCCTAACCCCAAGCTCTATCCAAGTCGCTGATATGCAAGTTTCACATCCAAATCCCGCGGGTTAAAACCATTCTTCCGGACACCAATCCTGGGTCACGTTGGACGGGGGTCACCCGTCGATTTTAAGGAACACATATGGTTTGTTATGCACATTAACGAAAAAAATGTGTACGTGTTTTATTAAGGGGGTCATTCCCTATCTTAAACAACACCCACATGTGTTTGGTTTCACAATATGGTTGATCGCGATGATCAACACAGGCATCATGAGTGGCGAGAATCATTTGTTTTCCACGTCATCAACTGGCAAGAACCATAGTTCTCTTGGGAGAAATATAGGGTAATATAGTAATATAGGTAAATTAGTTTGTATGTGTTCATCAATTTAAACTGGCAACATTTATGGCAGATATATCTACAGCCGCCAGTCGGGGCTTCGCCATAACTGGGCACCACCAGCTCCATCTCTACGGGATTTGCCAGCTATGTTTGACTATCAAAAGTTACTAATCTGCAAAACATCAACGACAAGAGGACATAAACAAATAAACAACCTAATAATAATAAAAACTACCTAGAACTAAAACTAACTAACAAACAATTTGAATAATACAAATATCTTGCTATTTACCTATTCAACATGGATTTTTTTCCACTTCGCCAACCGTTCACTGCAGGTGTGTGCCTGCCCACGATGACATCGTTCTCGAAGACCACCAAAGGCCTATAGCGACCACGTCGCTTCGTCACATCCAGCATGACATCGGGGCCGTCAGAAATGGTGGATATGGCTAGGGACCCCTCACCTAGCCATAGTTCCTGAGAAACTACTTGGATCCATAGCGGTATATATATATATATATATACCCGCTGGTTATGACTAACAGTTTGCCATGGAAAATCACCATGTTTTTAATAGGTAAATCATCTATAAATGGGCCATTTTCCATGGCTATGTTAAATAACCAGGTGGTATATATATATATATATGGAGGTTTCCTAAGATGGGGGTACCCCCAAATCATTCCAAATTAGACAATCAACAATTTTAGTATTGAAACCCATTGGTTTTGGGAACCCACCATTTTAGGGAACCTCCATATGGAGATATTAATGAATATTAATGGGATATGAATGTTATAGTAATGCGACAGTAATGGGACTTTAATGGATAGCAATGGTATATTATTGGGATATTAACGGGATATTAATGGGACATCAATGGTATGTTCATGGGATATCAATGGTATATTCATGGGATATTAATGGGCCATCAATGGGATAGTAGTGGGATATTCATGGGATAAACATGAATACAACGAATCACATCATGATTCATGGTTAAATCATCATGATATCCCATTCACGTCCCACAGGAAATGAAGGTTATCTTGACATTATTTCCGACTTTCCAGCAGTCTAAAACACTATACATCTGATTGGTGGAAATTCGTTCCAAGGCTCGTGGAAAATTGAATAGCACTTTCATGAATGATAGACACACAACATCATATTCTAATTAAAGGGTTATTTATCCATATGTTTCAAATATGAACACAATGGTACCATTACAAAAAGATACACCGGGAATCACCGGGATAATTACACCTACCAATTTGACGGGTCCATTGGATCTGCCCGAAACAGCTGGGTTTTTGCAACAAAGCATAACTTGGTTTCCAACATACCCAGTGTCCTCAGGTTACCAACCAAATTTGATCTGGATGATGGAATGGGATCCAAGCCATCCATTTTGGATCCGACTTGCCCTCCATCACCACGTTTGCCTCCAACCAAACGTGGTAAATCACAAAATGGAAGCAGCTGAGAATATCATGGGTGACTAAATTCTGGGGGACTTTCCGGCAAACATCAGCAGTTTCTATGTGACTGCCTTGACTCATCCGTTTCCGGGATCATCTGCAGTCGGCCAGGGTGGGGTGGGATAGGTTGCCCAGCCCCATTTCCCATAGGCTCCAGGCTCTGTCAAGTATAGGACCTGCAACAGCGACGCTGTTCATGGGGCAAGATGTGGTAAAACAGTGATCATCTTGGGGTTGATACCCATGCGTGTATGTTATATAGATGTTATATATTTGTAATTATGTATAATTATATAATATATATATAATACATATTATTATTAGTATCATTAGCCATTAGCCTTTAATTGTATGTATATATATATATATGATTATATATATATGGAGAGAGAGAGAGAGAAAAGGAGAATCATCACAAAATATACATATACTGAGGCCGTATTGTAAGTCACTCGTCAACAACCTATATCAGAGTATGGGGCCCTTATACAACCCTCCTACCAACCAGCCAAATAGCATGACCCAAGTGATGGTAGATTTGCTGGCTGGATAGCCTACAGTCAACATCAATTATGAGTAATGTGAAAAACTGTATAGTAAAGCATCGAATCTTTCCAACATTAGATTTGTTCTTTGGGGATGTTGGGAGGCCAAAACCCCCAAGCGGGGTGATTATCATTGCCTTTACCACAAGTCCAGATTCGGATACCAAGGAGTTGATGTGTAGAACCCTCTTCAAGGGCAGGATTTTGCCGTTCTAAGGATCTCTGACGCCTGTTCAAAATGTTCGGACATTGAATCTTAAAGGGTGAACAAAAACCGGTTTGATGGTTCAACCCCGTGGCGATCTTTGATTGTGGCTTCTGTGAAGAAGACGAGTTTTCAGGATCGTTTTCAGGTTATGTACTATGTATACACATATCCTCAGGTAAACCAACATAGCGAACTGAACAATCACCATCTTTAAGTTCGGTAAATCAACTATTTCTATGGGCCATGGCTTCAATAGCTACTTTGACATAACCAGAGGGTAATATGTAAAGCATTTACTGGTTGGTAAAATCCCATTAAATCACTATCAAATCCAATGAAATCACTATAAATCGCTATATGTACAGCATTTACGCCTTTCAACCATCTCTCCTTCAACAAAACCTTCACCGCCAAGAGCGCCATCCCATCGCATGCCGTGCGCACCGTCTGCTTCCAGTGCGTGTCCGGCATGCCGGGCGAGGTGGAGAGAACCGTACCCTGCGGTTTTTCCCATGGGAAAACCATGGGGAAACCATGGGAAAATGGTGATTTTACCAAAACAAATGGGGAATTCCATGGGGATCCAAGCAATCTCTGCGCATCATCGTGATGGAGTTTGAATCATGAAACATGGAGATTCAATGCGGATTCGGTAGGATATAATGTGGATAGAATGGAGATATACTGTAATGGGAATATAATGACCATAATTTAATCTACTGAGTATGTAATAGAGCAATAACTCTGATAAAACATGGATATACAAATAATTTACAAATGGAAAGTGTGGCAACCAACAACAGTTTCTTTTCACAGCTACAGTAGATGGAACCCGTCAAGTTGATTACCCTATTCAACCCAACTCGATTATCAACTAAGTAGGGTGCATCAACGTGTTGGGTAGCGGGATTTTGCAACTCGATATCAAACGATAGTGACACAAGGCTAACAAATACAAACATCGACAGTCTCCAACAATCGCGGGGTCGCAACAAACAAGAACGATCAATAATGGTGCTTCTACATCTTGTCCTCACAAAACCTAGTTGGATGCACTAGTGCAATGCCGGGCGAAGTTGCAAGAGAAGCCGCCAAATTCCGTCATGTCCTGGTTGGGATGCTGGGAAGTCACATACCACGTATGGTTGAAGCCACCCATGCTCCAAAATTGGGCAAACTACCCGTCCCAATAAAGACTAAAGCGCCCAAGGCACACATGCATGAAATCTTGGCCAAGACCTGAACCGCTTCTGACGTGGACGAAAGGCCCGGCACTTGGCGGTGGTGTAGTCCACGTCTTCAACCTCCCAAGTTTTGGTCACGGGCGGTTGCTTCTTTCCTGACACAAAAGGCATCGCCACTTGGACCACGAGCATCTCGCTGCCACAAACAGCCTCTTGCTCCGCAGGTGATTCAGCAGAAAAACAAAAACTCTGTCTTTATATGTAGGGACCAGCCTGACCAGTTCGCTATGGAAGCCATGGCCATTTTATAGGTTACTGATGGTTGAAGTATACAAACGATGCTTTACCGTTCAAGGCTCACTTTCAATAAATCATGTCTTGGTTCAGCTGGTTCCTGAGTTTTCCTCCTGGTCTCAACTCAACCATCTGGTACCTTCGGTGGACTCTGTATAGGCAATGGCATTGGTATCAGCTCTTTGGCAGAGTTACCATCTGGTTATTCAACATCGCCATGGAAAATCACCATTTTTAATAGGTAAACCATCTATAAATGGTCCATTTTCCATGGCTATGTTAAATAACCAGAGGGTAATCATCATTCAACGCCAAAAACTGACCTGACAACAGTGGAAGTTCCGTTCTGAACGGATGGTCAAATGAAAGGAGGGCTGTTGGATGTCCCAACATGACCGGCAGAGTAACAGCCGCCTCTCAGTATACCCTCTGGTAAACGTTAACAAAAAACAATGAAAACATCCACCATGTTTAATGGGTAAATCAACTATTTCGACTGGGCCATTTTCAATAGCTATGTTTGTTTACCAGAGGGTAACTGGAGTTCTGAAACAATCATTGTATTGCAATGTATTGAAAGTGTATTGTCTTGTGTGGTTGTGTGGTCTCGTATCTGATTTTGTGTGGAATAGTTGGTACAGTAGGAGTGTGGCAGCAAACTTGGGTTATGGTTCGCAGACTGGTCGTGCTTAGCACCAAACATTCAAAGTTCAGAGTCACCCATACCATTCACAGCGGTAAACGAGATGAAGATATCTATGTGGCTATCAGACGCTATGAGCATCATCAACAGTGCTTCCTACAGAGACTATAAATGCTAGAATGTTGGGGCCACCAAACGATAGCGAAGTTGCTTTAGTTCACCAGGTTAACTATGGTTTATGTTTTAACTATGTTATATGTATATAATACAGTACATGTTTATAGTATATCAAACACGTTACACGTTGGGCTTAAAAACCAAAAACACTCGGGGCCCCGACCGACTCGGAGGCGTCGAAGCGCACGTCAAACCAAACCACCTTGCGGACCATCACGCGTTGTGCGGCGGCGAAGGTGGGAGCGAGTCATTGGGCGAATCATTGGGGGTGCAGGTGGGGTGTGAATGGTTACTGTTTAATACATGTTAATAGCATTACTAATTATGAATACCATATGGTATCAAGCAGTATTAAGACCCGTGTTGTCTTGTTTTTGTTGTCATGTTAAGCATGTAAGTCATGTTAAGTCTGTATATATGCACATATGTATTTTTGCTGCTTGAATATCCGCGGTTGCTTTCATCGAAAATACCTGAAATGGACCTTTTGTTTCTAGTCGCTCAAGTTGGCCAACAGGCCGCTCAGCAGCGTATCCAACAGGAGATGTGATGGATTTCAGATGTTTTCTGTGAAACAATGCGAATGAAATCCATAAAGATGGGAAAATAAATTGGACATAATTGGACAATTCGTGTGTGAAATGTGTTGATTATTTTGCGAATGAAAGATTGTTTGAACCCAATAAAACACTTTTTATTTTTCTTTCAAGGCTACCATCATCATACAAGTTGGTGATGCAGTGCGCATGTCAAGAAACAGTCATCTGGCTACAGTAATTAAGTCAACATAGTTTGCCAAACTGAAATTGTATAAGTCATTATAATATATATATATATATATATAAGATAGCATGAGTCCTTTTGGAATAATTCCCGTTCCGGATCTGCCAGTGTTGTCGTTGAAATTCAGCCAGCATTATCATTGATGCACTATGATGCACTAAGACCAAGAATTTGCCATATAGAACCAGCTTTCTACTCAATTTTGCAACCTAGGAGTATTGGGGAACCTTATCATTTTGGTAGGGTTCTCACATTGTCTTTTCCCACGGATCCAGCGTCCAACAACGCGAACCATGCAGTCTTCAGGCTCCCCCAGAGAGTTTATCAGAGAAGCCGAAGCTGTACAGAACCTCTCCCCGTTGCCAGAGCATCTTCGTTAGGGGCAAGCAGGACAAAACAAGATGTTACATGTACCTAAATTACTCAGAAAAAAATAGCAAAATATCGCGTTTTGGTGACACGCATCATTAGTTTGCATGCCTCAGCATCAACCAACTTTATGAATATCAACTCTTTTGCTTCCCGAAGCTCTTCCTATCCCTTGCTCACTATCTGAGCTATTCATCAGATGGAAGACGGCTTACTTCCGGTTGAATCATCAGGGTCTTACCACCAAAATAGTGATGATCTGCTACTAAAATGGTATGGTACCCCTCCTTAAAACAGCAACGACAACAACAACGACAACGACAACCACAACGACAACGACAACGACAACAACAACGACAACGACGACAACAGCCTTTATTACATGAGCAGTTTAGCATCATCCAGGGCGGGCATTGCACTGTGAGAGAATGGCAAAGCAAAAATAACATCGTTTTTCCCGAGAGCGTCTGAGCGCAGGGTTCTTCCAATAGTGGGGGTCTGTATCTTATCTTCTCATCTTCACATCTTCTCATCTTCACATCTGTATCTCATCTTCTCATCTTCACATCTTCTCATCTTCACATCTGTTCATCTTCACATCTGCTCATCTTCACATCTGCTCATCTTCACATCTGCTCATCTTCACACCTTCTCACATCTCTCATCTTCACATCTGCTCATCTTCACACATCTCATCTCACATCTGCTCATCTTCACATCTGCTCATCTTCACACCTTCTCTCACATCTCTCACATCTCACATCTCTCACATCTTCTCTCACATCTGCTCACATCTGCTCACATCTTCACATCTTCTCTCACATCTCTCTCACATCTGCTCATCTTCACATCTGCTCATCTTCACATCTGCTCATCTTCACATCTGCTCATCTTCACATCTTCTCTCACATCTGCTCATCTTCACATCTGCTCATCTTCACACCTTCTCTCACATCTGCTCATCTTCACATCTGCTCATCTTCACATCTGCTCATCTTCACATCTTCTCTCACATCTCTCTCCTTTTTCTCTCTCTCGCCTTCTTTTTATCTTTCTCTCTTAAGGCCGAGGGTGGTGCCGGCGGCGAGTCACGAAACGCCAACCCTTTCGCACGAAATGAGGGTCGATCGGCAAAAACTGAGGTAAAAGTGCGATTTTACTTGTCCCGGAGCAACCCTTTCGCACGAAATGAGGGTCGATCGGCAAAAACTGAGGTAAAAGTGCGATTTTACTTGTCCCGGAGCAACCCTTTCGCACGAAATGAGGGTCGATCGGCAAAAACTGAGGTAAAATTGCGATTTTACTTGCCCCGGAGCAACCCTTTCGCACGAAATGAGGGTCGATCGGCAAAAACTGAGGTAAAATGCGATTTTACTTGTCCTGGAGCAACCCTTTCGCACGAAATGAGGGTCGATCGGCAAAAACTGAGGTAAAATTGCGATTTTACTTGCCCCGGAGCAACCCTTTCGCACGAAATGAGGGTCGATCGGCAAAAACTGAGGTAAAATTGCGATTTTACTTGTCCTGGAGCAACCCTTTCGCACGAAATGAGGGTCGATCGGCAAAAACTGAGGTAAAAGTGCAATTTTACTTGTGCCGTTCTTGTCTGTGTGTAAAAGCGCCTGTGTGTAAAAAGCGTCTGTGTGTAAAAGTCTCTGTGTGTAAAAGCGTCTGTGTGTAAAAGCGTCTGTGTGTCAAAGTGTCTGTGTGTAAAAGCGTCTGTGTGTAAAAGTGTTTGTGTGTAAAAGTGTTTGTGTTCAAGTGTTTCTGTGTAAAAGCCTCTGTGTGTAAATGTGTTTGTGTGTGAAAGCGTTTGCGTGTAAAAAGCGTCTGTGTGTAGAGGTTGTCTGTGTGTAAAAGCGTCTGTGTGTCAAAGCGTTTGTGTGTAAAAGCGTCTGTGTGTAAAAGTGTTTGTATGTAAAAGCTTCTGTGTAAAAGTGTTTGTGTCAAAGTGTTTGTGTAAAAGTGTTTGTGTAAAAGCCTCTGTGTGTACATGTGATTGTGTGTGACAGCGTCTGTGTGTAAAAAGCGTCTGTGTGTAAAAAGCGTCTGTGTGTAAAAGCGTCTGTGTGTCAAAGGGTTTGTGTGTAAAAGCGTCTGTGCGTAAAAGTGTTTGTATGTAAAAGCTTCTGTGTGTAAAAGTGTTTGTGTTACAGTGTTTGTGTAAAAGCCTCTGTGTGTAAAAGCTTTTTGTTTAAAAGCGTCTGTGTGTAAAAAGCGTCTGTTTGTAAAAGTGTTTGCGATGCAAACTACTGTCTTGCACTTCTCACTGTCCTGTCTTGATACTCCTCTTCTCGACTGCCTATAACACATCTTTCATACATCGTTTCTAAAATTGCGTCTCCATACTAACAAGAGAAGACCCTGCTCCTCTACGCTCTCGGGCCATCCGTCGTCTAGTTTAACCTCCGGTAGTCAAATGTGGGGCTGGGAAATCCCTTGTAAATGGGTGTTCCATTGCCATGGTGAAGGACCCTCCAGGTTTGCTGGATATCTCCTGTTGCGGTCGGTTAATCCCGTCCGTGATATCCTTGTCCTGTTGGGCATATCTTATCGATTGGTTTGTGCAACAAAATCACATAGGTTTCTGGTTGGTGGTATACCTATCCCTCTGAAAAATGATGGAGTTCGTCAGTTGGGATGACTTTTCCATTCTCAACTGAATGGAAAGTCATAAATTTCATGTTCCAAACCAGCAACCAGGTTTGCTTGTTAAGCAGTTGATGCACATGAAACATCCGAACAGAACAGCAGTTGAATGCAGTTGCCCCCTGACTCCGCTGGAAGACCATCAAAGGCCCCTTTGACCACTGACGACTGCAACCCTTGTGGACTTGCAGTGATGTCATCTGTACGCTGCGGGATTTCGAGATGCAAGCGGAACAACTGAGGTGAGATGTTGATGCTTCCGAGAATGGGGGATGGCCAATATCTTGGATAATTTAGCTATACTCTATAGTGCATTCCTCCATGTACCGCAAAAGCACAACCGACCAAACCCACAATGTGGTCCTCGCAGTTGTAAGTTGGTCTATGACACCATCGGACTTACCATTAACCCAATCGTGAACTTAGTAAATTAATCCAACTTGTCTATCTCGGGGGCATAACCTTGGAGTTGGGTTGATCGATATTCCCATGATATCTTCCTTGTCTTCCGTCATACCACTAGTCTTGTTGGTTACAGTAAATTTCGATATTTTCGTTGGTTAAAATCCATGCATTCATCATACATCTTGAAGGTCTTGCACATTTAAAACGTTGATTACTTATCAGAATCGATCCCCTGAAACTTGAAGTCAAATCCCATACCCATAGGATCCATGGTGTTGCCATATATGGTAACATTTACCATCAATATACCCCCAATGTTAGTATATATATACCATACATGGATCCTATGGGATATGTATCAATGATTTTTCTGCTGAAATCCACCACGTGTTTTGGGATTGAGACCGTTCCCCATCTTTGGACGATTGAGACCCCAAGGAGATCCAGCTCACTGTGCGGAATTATCACCTGTGACGGACTAAGACCTGAATCTACTCAGGGACTTGAGTAACGAGTCAATCCGAAAATCGCAATGGTTCCAAAGGAACATGCAATATGTCGTTTTATTTTTGTTCAATACTTGTATGTTGTGCGTTTCCTATTTGACATTCAATATGTTGCTGTGATGCTTTCTTTTTAACGTTCGGATGGGCTTTCCCAATGCAATTCACGGATTGTTTGTATCTACGCAGTCTTTTCTGATCAAATTTCTAAACCAGCGCCCTTCACAGCGCTGCCGCGCTGAATGTGGGATGGGTCAAAAGCTATGCCATATCCATTTCAACAACAGCCAACATTTGATGAGGAAAGCAATCATTTACACATAGGATCATTAATTGGTATATATAGGGTTGTCCTTTCCATGCATTCATCAACTTAATTTATCATCTATTTCGATCTGAGCTGAACAGCAACTCTAGATATGTCTAATGTCTACTATCATGATAATTAAGTCTTTGTACGTGAGATTCTTCCTTTACTCAGATTGAGTCTGCTTTACATCTTAAGTTTTTCTTTGACCCAAGGGCGCTTTTTCGACACCATCGCAAACCATCGCTTAGCTCGCCTTGATGTCGGCTTTCATGAACTTCCTCGTTGCCAGCGTCGACAGCATGCTGACCATGAACAGCCCCACAAGAACCGGGGCGAAGGAGTCCGGGCTCAGCACAGAACAGACGATGGAACCACCTCCACGACCCAAGGACCTGAGATAAATCGACGCTGCAACGCTAGGAAGATCACCATAGCTGGATGTAGGGGATCAAAGGATATCATGTATGGGGTATTTAGTACAGTATTATACAGTATTAGGTGGATGGGGTAGGATTTCACCAAGAATAACGAGATGTCTAGTGGGATATAGTTTAATATAGTGGGAGATCAAGAGATGTGATCAGTGAAACTGCTGACACGGGAAAACAACCCGCAACAACCCACATTAATATATAGGTTCAAGGTGGTGCCCTATAGTTAGCTAAGTTGGTTTATAACTCCAGTAACTATGGTTTATGGCAGATATAACTATAGTATTCATGGGGTTTATAAACCAACAATTGTAACTGCGGGGCACCATCCTGTTGCATGGTTGACATTGGAAAATCCCATGAAAATCGTGGTTGGTTTATGCGCCAGTTGCTTCGCCAGTTGGTGATTCGGAATGAGCTCGAGGTTGACTGTTGGGTGTATACTGATGATAATCATGGTTGGGTGAGAAAACTACTTCAAATTATGGGGAATCAAATTATAGAATTAGATGAGGCAAAGAGGTATAATGTTCGTTCTTTTACTGTCATCTACTCCTATGTTTCCTAGTTTTTTTTCTGTTCTTTGTGGCATCAAATTGACGAAACCAACATATTATACATACATACATACATACATACATACATACCATTACATTACATTACATTACGTTACGTTACGTTACATTACATTACATTACATTACATTACATTACATTACATACATACATTACATACATACATACATACATACATACATACATACATACATACATACATACATACATACATACATACATACATACATACATACCATACATAACATACATACATACCATACATACATACATACATACATACATACAACATACATACATACATACATACATGCATGCATACATACATACATACATACATTACATACATTACATACATACATACATTACATACATTACATACATTACATACATTACATACATTACATACATTACATACATTACATACATTACATACATTACATACATTACATACATTACATACATTACATACATTACATACATTACATACATTACATACATTACATACATGACATACATTACATACATTACATACATGACATACATTACATACATTACATACATTACATACATTACATACATAACATACATAACATACATAACATACATAACATACATAACATACATAACATACATAACATACATAACATACATAACATACATAACATACATAACATACATACCATACATACATACATACATACATACATACATACATACATACATACATACATACATACATACATACATACATACATACATACATACATACATAAACATACATAAAATATCATATCATACAATGACAAACAAACAAATAGTTACCTGCATAATGTCGGATCATTTTTTTTGCGTGGATGCATTTTTCCACGCATCGCATGCTTTTAGTTTCACACTAAACGCCTCCTCTGACGCTGGTGTCTTAAGTGCTACGAATTTGAAAACAATGTGTCTTGACACTCCGGAATCAGTTGTTCTATTTCTGCTGAAATCACCATGTAACTCCTCGCTTGAAACTGTCTGCATCTGTTTGACGGTTTCAATGTATCTCCACACTTGAAGCATGCGGGTATGCTTCAAATATTAAGTATATCTTAATTGCGGTACGGTTCCGATTTCAAGCAATTCTTTTTCAACCAAAAGCAATCTTCAATTCATCATCGCAGACCATGGCAGAGTTGGATTGCCATCAAAGTACCTACACACAATATACGAGATTACCCTCTGGTTATGTCAAAATAGCTATTGAAAATGGCCATAGAAATAGTTGATATACACATTAATCTTCAATTCATCATCGCAGACCATGGCAGAGTTGGATTGCCATCAAAGTATCTACACACAATATACGAGATTACCTTCTGGTTATGTCAAAATAGCTATTGAAAATGGCCATAGAAATAGTTGATATACACATTAAAAATGGTGATTTTCCATAGTTATGTTAGTTTACCAGAGGGTAACTATATATCTCCATGTGCATATTGATCTGTATTTTGTGTTGTATTGGACCATACACATAGCCCACAAGGCATAGCTGGTCGCCTAGAAAGGTTTTTGCATCCTGCAGGGGTTCCATAGATGGCTATGACATCCACGGTTCTATGAACAGAATGCCGATTGGTTTATAAACCCCATGAAGTATATAGATATATCTACCATATTTAACCTAGGCTTAAATAAACCAACTTATCTAGTTACGGGGCACCACCTTGTATATCTCACTTCATACAAGATTTCGATTATGGATTTGTCTGAAAATCTGGCATACCAAATTGAAGAGGAACATTGGAGATCAACCAGGGGATGGAAGGGTCTAGATCTGTCATGTTCATGACATACCCACGGTATCTTGTTGCTTATACAGTTATATGACTATCCCATATTCAATCCCTTATATATAGTTTGTATATATATATGATTGTATGTGTATATATTTCCAATAAATAATATTGGCCAGTTTGGTATACCATCTATCATCATTTGCCTATTGGTTGTCTATTGGGGGCTAAGCCTTAAGCCCTGTATGAACCAACCAACCAGTGGGAACAGGACATCTGAGCAGTGTTCAATACCCGTAACGTCGTCCCTATAAAAAACTGGCTGTTTAATAGGATTCCCTATAATGGATCATGATAATCCCGAAAAGATAAAGGGTTGTAATGCCCGAACGAATCCTCAAACCAACCATCATTTATCACTTCGTCCCGTTCGGAATTCGGAATTGTCATTATATCACTTATATAACCAAGTTTGTTGTTTACCATCCATTACTATCACTTATCATTAATCATTTACCATCATTTATCCACTGATATCCCATTGCTTGCGGATGGATCCACAACAAATCCTAAATGAATCCACGAACTTACCATCAACCATCATGTGTCCTAAGATTATTACATCCATTTAATTCTCCAATAGATGGATAAATCTTAAATCAGTTTCCCCCATCATATCCTCTCTCTATATATATAATGTCCTATAGTTTATTCTCCTACATTTATATATCCTACATATATATATATATGTGATGTCCTATATTTATTATATATATAATGCCCAGCATGTTCATGGTTTAATTTCATCCCCCCATCCCCATTGCTTCACGGAGCATGGCCACGGTCGCCCAAGTCATGACCTGGCCGCTGTAAGAGTACTGACAACGATTAATTATATACTGTAACTATGGTTTATAGGTGATATTAACTATAAATTGGATTTAACTATAGATCCCCTAAAAACTATAGATCTGGTTGGTGGTTTCAATTCCTCTGAAACATAATGGTTGTAACAAATTGGATATTAACAACAATTGTAAGGGTACCATAATGGTAACAATTAATATCTGGTTAGTGGCTTTAACCATCTTGAAAAATATGAGTTCGTCAGTTGGGATGATGACATTCCCAACTGAATGGAAAAATAAAATTCATGTTCCCACACCACCAACCAGTCTTCTTCGAATCGGTTGAAAACCTTTCTGAATCATGATTAGCCCGCAACTTCTGGCCATCATGAACATGGCTAAACCAAGGTTTCCCGTATATTTGTTGACGGCGTCGTCCCCGATAAAAGGTTGAATCTAATCTCCGAACTAATCATCAACAAGCCATCAATTACATCCACGTAAACATCGAAATTTATGGATGGTAAACATCTTATGATTCCACGAACTACTCATTAACAATCAATAATCAAAATGTCTCCCCATATGACCATCAAACCTCATAAACACCCTTTGCTTGATGGTTTTGATGGTTGAATTCCATCAAACTATATCATAGAACTAGGGTTTTAGCAGCTACTGCTCCAAAGTGAATATCCCTTCCAAAACTGCCTTTTTAACGACAAACAATGCTGACTTTCCGGCTCGTTTTTATCATGTCCCGTCTTTACCAACCATCATTAACGATCAGAAATGAGGATTCTTGACCAAAACGAACTCAATGACAAATACGGGTTGATTACCTGAGATCCATTTCAGCTGAGTCTGGAAAATGTGTTTTTAAAATGACCACTTCCTGAGGTCCCACCAGAAATCATACCATCTGGTTATGACTAACAGTTCGCCATGGAAAATCATGGAAAATCACCATGCTATTAAGTTCGGTAAACCATCTATTTCGATTAGGGCCATCGACAAACCATGGCGAACTGTGCATGTCATAACCAGAAATCATAGCCCAATCATCTTAGGTACCATGGCGAAGCTACGGTTGGATCATGTTGGATCCAGAGGTGATGATCAAATTTAAGTCCAGATTGTCCCAATAAAATACTCCCAATTTATATCCAACGTTCGTAGCATCATCTTTTACTGGCTAGAACTAGTGAAAAATCCCATGGTACATGGTTAAACAAGTTGAAACCCCATCAATACACCATTGTTCTTGGTTAAATCGATGGAACATCACCATTTTTATAATGGGAAAATCCACTATTTCAATGGTCATTTCCAATAGCTATGTTTGACATAACCAGAGGGCATCCCATTTCCAGATGGATTTCGAGGTGCCGAGTTCAAGGTGTCGGGTGGCACCATCTTGGAGCAGAGGCTGAGACCGAAGGCGCGCACTAAGCCCATGGAGATCAAGACCAACACCAGGCCCATGGAGTTCAAAGAGATCTGGAGATCGACATCGACCCAAGATCGACATCTGGAAATCCAAAAAAAAATTAGGCCAGTGATGGCCGAAAACCCTCAAAAATCTCGAAAATTGGCCCAACGAATTTTACAGTTTATAGGATATAGATGGCCCAACTACCAGTTATTTTGATGGGCTTATGAATCATGATCTATTCCACCGACTAATTACATATGTTATAGGAGTTATGCATGAGTCCAGTTAGAACTCATCATGGCCATAATTGCAGGATTCTCTTATTATCTGGTACAGAAAATTGGCCCAACAGTGATGAATGGAATTATACATAACTCCTATAGAAGTACAGTGAAATATATAATCGAATAAACATATCTATTCTATAATCTGTTCCTATCATCAGAATAGGATATTCCCCCAAGGATAAGATTAATATCCATATTCTGGTTGATTCATATCCCTATTCTGGTTTGATCATTACTATCTGGTATTAAGCCGGTTGTGTAATCGGGAGATTAATCAACAAGAAGAGGGATATTACCCCAAGGTTTTGTGAGGAAAAGACTCTGTTAGTGATGGATGTGTTGGAATATGTTGGAATTTCCATTTTATTGGGTAAAACGCATCTTGAAACAATCCAAGACTCTACGATGTGTGTATATATATATATATGCGAATAGTATACTGAACATTTGGTGAGATGATAAGGTGTCTTAGATGATAGAGGAGCTGGTAGAGGACCAGCTATCCTTCCTTTTTGGGCACGTTGGGCACTGGAGCCATGCGCAGTTCACCACACAAAATGACCCCCATGAAGGATGGCACTGTTTTCCTTGTTGGTTAAAACCCTTATTCAATCAGTTGGTTGACCCAGCCAAGATGGTTTTACATGTTTTTGTTACATGGTTTTAGATGAAGAATACCCATATGATTTATACCCTGACAAATCCCATTTTTTCTTAGTTCAACACCCAATTCTTGGATAGTTGCCCAGTGCTTAACTCCCATCCTTCACACTGCAACCATCTCCTCCCATTTTCGAACTTTTTAGCGCGCCTTCACCGTGGGATGCTCCAGTTCGAAGTTGAACAAAAAGCCGCAGCTGACGCATGCGAAGACGGTCGCACCCATCAAGCCCTTCACGTCGCTGAAGGACAGGCAGCGGAGCAGTTTCCTCGGAAAAAGCGCCGAGGGATGCCAAAAAATGCTAGGCGTCAAAGATCATCAGCAATGTGGGACCCCCAAAATAGCTAATGTTGGTTTATTTGCCTAGGTTATCAGGTTAAGTATGGTTTATGGTAGTTATAAGGAACTAGTTAGATGGGGTTATAAACCAACTTACAACTAGGGGGCCCCACATTGAACAAAAACATGAAACCTGTTTGTACATCATCAACAACTGCTTGATTGAAACATCAACATCATGAACAGTAGTTCGAACATCGTTTTTGGGGGGAAATGAATGGTAATGATATGTTGTCCCTTGGGCAGACGGTTTTTTGGCAGCAATCCCACCTCAAAAACACAACGGGTTGGATCCACTTGGAGATATTCATAATGGCAATACACATATTTCTTCAACCAAAATTGGCCGTCATGGCCAACAAGAAATATAGATAAGCGTACTGTATATCTATATATATATACATATAAATATATACATATAGTATTATGTATAGTGATATAAATATGCAAGTCATGGGACCCCAAATCATCATCCAGTCATGGATGACCATGACTTGAGGATTCCCTCAACATCAGCTCACTCACCGAGTTTCCCCAAAGTCAGATTGAAAATACCTGAGATGAACATCAACGCCGCCACCTCAATGGCCAAAATCACTGCATGTGGATCTCAGAAGTCTCATGCCATGTGAAAATCAATGTGCCCTTTCAATAAGCCATTAAAGCCATTATGTTGCTCAACAACATGTATGTATATATATATATATATGTATATATATTTATATATATATATATATGTATATATATATATGTATATATATATATGTATATATATGTAAATATATATATATATGTATATATATATGTGTATATATATAGATGTATATATATATGTACATATATATGTATATATATATATGTATATATATATACATATATATATATATACACATAATATAGTATGTCGAGTACGTCTATGTATATTTCAGAGACCCTGAAACAAAACTTCGCCGCTTTTTGGAGAATCTTGTGCAGTCCCAAAATACACATCCTATACAGGGCTTGCTCGTTGTGAAGTCGTCCTCATTTGCACGGCACGCGCCTAGATGCAATACCAAGCCAGGGTTTCTGGGAGCTATTTACTAGGGGGCAACACTTTTTCGATTTGCAGCATGAAGATCAATCCGAGTGAAATCACTTGAGCGGTGCCTGAAAATTTCTGTCACCCACTTCCACACGTTGGGTGAGCGTCTCAGAGTCGCCCAGCCTTTCCATATCCCAATTGGTTTACGATTTTATTGCATTTTTCCATTACAAGTTTGGGTTTTCTGAAATTGGGGGAACCCCAAAACCATCAAAACCATGGGTTTCAATACTAAAATGGTCCAAGTTTGGATGATTGCGGGTACCCCCCATTTCAGGAAACCTCCAAATAGGGATTGCCCAACATTTTTTTTTAACCTTCCCAGTATTTCCAGAGGTGATACGCGCTTGATGCAGCAAGATACAAAGCAAGCACTTTTGGCGATTGACCAGGACATGTAATGCGTGCAAAGATTGATCGAATAAACCTCCACGCCGGTTGTCACCTGGGATTTTCTCCACGGCGAGGGGTTGGAGGAAGCCCCAATTTCTGGGTTATCCCATCTACAAAATGGTTTATAACTGGTTGGTGGTTTCAACCCTCTGAAAAATGATGGAGTTCGTCAGTTGGGAAGGATGACAACCCATATATTATGGAAAGAAAAATGTTTGAAGCCACCAACCAGTATAACTAGTATCATTTACCACTTAGTAAGTGGCACAATCCACCAAACGCTCACTTGCTCTGAATTGTTTGAAACAACCATGCCCGACATCTATGGGTATGTGGCGACATACCTGTCTGAATCATTGGCTAAGGTGTGACCTGATAGCCGACGTTTACGCTCCGTGTTCAGTCGAAATGTTTTCACTTGGATTGTTTAAAGTTTGTGGTTGTAACCAGAGAAACTACCCTCAAGGAGTATGATAGGGTCTTCCAAATTAGAGGGTTTTAAGAGACCCTCACTGTTGGATACTAACAAATACAACCAATTAAATCAGTATCAAGACTCTTCTCACCGGCCAATGAATGACCCACCAGTTTGATCTATTGAAAGATGCTCTTATAAACAAGATGTTCTCGGTTGCCGTGTTTGACCACAAGAAGGTAGATGTGCGATAGACAATGAAGATAAATGGAGTTGTTTCTGCCTTGACATGACTGTTAGCCCAAAGTTCTTTAAGATGTTGGGCCAAAGCCAGAAGTGCCAAGAAAATCTAGTGAATATATAGATGGTATAAGATGATCTACTAACCAAAGTACCTACCTCTTGACATATTCACATCTACGAATCTCGATTCAAGGGGCTCAAGTTCAAGAAACACCATTTCTCCATCACTTTTGGCTAAGTCAACGTGTTGTCTTCCGCATGATTGCCCTACATCACCCCACTATGTCAATGGCACTCCCATTGGCCCTTGTGAATGGCCACCTACCAGGCGAAATTTATCAGTTGTCTCCCATGTCCCAACGTACAGTATCTAAAATCAAACACGGGTATATACCACTGGCTATAAACCCAACAAGATGAAACATCATCCCTTGCACCGTGCGCCACAGACTCCCTTGCCACACACACACACAACACACACACAACACACACACACAACACACACACAACACACACACAACACACACACTTCTACCTCATGGTATGTTTGAAAATATTCTATTGTCACATACTCATGAGATACCCACCAGAATGGCCGCTTCAACGAACTGCTGTCATGAGTACATTGGACCGTGAATAATACTGTGAACAATATCATAACAAGTACGGATCATCCCAAATATCATATGGCTGAGTAATCATGCACATATTAATCTTATGCAATCCCCCTATGAACATATCCATACATATCCATGTATTGGTGTTCCTAACAATGAGAGTATTTTGTGTTGCAAACATACTCGCTGTAATTTTCTTCCCATCTCCGGATGGTCATGCTAAAAAGTTCAACCCCGAGTCTTGATGGTGCATTGATTCTTAGTTATAACATGTTTACTGGTTGGTGGTTGACCTACCCCTCTGAAACACATGAGTTCGTCAGTTGCGATGATTATTCTCAATATATGGACAAATAAAACATGTTTGAAACCACCAACCAGGTTATAACTATAGTTCATAGTCATACCACATCATACCCATAGGATCCATGTATGGTATATATGCTAACACTTGGGGTATATTGATGGTAAATGTTACCATATATAGCATACATGGATCCTATGGGTATAGCATATTATAGCTGAATCCCCTTCTGTTGGATGGTTAACCCCCATGACTTCCGACTCCGAAACAGGCGAGTCGGCGAGTCACTGCACTGGACACGAAGAGGGACCAGAAACAGGCGCAACAGGCGGCCACTTTGGTCAAGGGCAATCCTTGACGTCGGCCTTTTTTTGGGCTCCTTGGATGCCACCGAATTGGCCCCACTGTCGTGAACTGGAAATACCCTCTGGTTATGTCAACAGTTTGCTATTGAACATGGCCATTTATAGTGGATTTACACACTAGAAATGGTGATGTTCAACAACTATGTTAGTTTACCAGAGGGTACTTTGTTGAGCTGATTCTTCTGCTGGTTATGATCATATCCCTATGAAGTATGGCAAAAGATTCGAGTACTAAATTACCCATCCACTCTTGACCCACCTTCTGGGGGATTTCGGCGTATATAAGTACCTTGGAAGTACTTGGATCCATCCGTGCAGATAGAATAGACACTGGCCCATCCTCACATCTGAAACATGACTTGGGGAACATCGGGATGATCATATAAATATACATATAAATATATATCTTTTTTAAATATATATATATATACATATGTATATATATATATATATATAAAAATACACATATGTATATACATATATATATATATACATATGTATATACATATGTATATACATATATATATATGGTACCCCCCCCGGTACCTACCTTTCCTTGATTTATACTGTAAATTACAGTATAATTTGCTTATTTTCATATGTTGAATTTGTTTTATATTGAGTTTCTTGAGACATGAGTTCAGACTTGAGTTCAGACTTGACTTCAGACTTGAGTGTCATAGTCTCGATTCCTGCTACCCAAGATCCAAGATCCAAGATTTCCAGAAAGCTTTTTATATTGAGTTTCTTGAGACATGAGTTCAGACTTGAGTTCAGACTTGACTTCAGACTTGAGTGTCATAGTCTCGATTCCTGCTACCCAAGATCCAAGATCCAAGATTTCCAGAAAGCTTTTCTTGGAAATCTTGGGATAAACCCAAGATCCAAGATCCAAGATTTCCAGAAAACTTTTCTTGGATGCACTTGCAGAATCTTGGATGCACCCAAGATCCAAGATCCAAGATTCCCAGATTTTTTTTCTTGGATGCAGGCTGGAAATCTTGGATGCACCCAAGATCCAAGATCCAAGATTTCCAGAAAACTTTTCTTGGATGCACTTGCAGAATCTTGGATGCACCCAAGATCTTGGATCTTGGGTTTATCCCAAGATTTCCAAGATTTCCAAGAAAAGTTTTCTGGAAATCTTGGATCTTGGATCTTGGGTGCATCCAAGATTTCCAGCCTGCATCCAAGAAAAAAAATCTGGGAATCTTGGATCTTGGATCTTCGGTGGCAGGCTTTGAGGCTTGAGTTCAGACTTCAGTTCAGACTTGAGATCAGTGTACACATGTGTAGACAGAAACTCTCCGACAAACAATGTCCGTGTGCCTCGGTCTGAGCTTCGCTCTTGGCTTGTTGAGATCTCGTATCCTCGTGTCATCGCATCCGGCCTCATGTCGATCCCCGTTGCCGGAAGTGTGCTTCTGCGCGACAATCAGGCCGTTGTTGTCTTGTCGGTGGCACAGGATGGCGCGGCGGCTCCTGGGGGACCTGGTGGGGGACCTGCAGACAACCTACAAATGCTGCTGAATCAAGTCCTCGCCGGGGACCATGCAGTACATGAAAGTAGACAACCACTTGCGCGAAAGCACCTAGCGGCAATGGTCTGCAACATTCAGAAAGGACTCCGACTGGCCCCTGTCGGATTGCTGGGCAGCTGGAGTCCTGACGCCTCACGAAAGCTCCTACATGCCCTGGCTCTCCCCAAAGTGATCCGTCCCAAAAAGGAGACTGCCACAGCCTCCCAACCTGCGCCTCGGCTGATTGGACTTCAGAACATGTGTTCCATGTCTTGAGTACACTAACACTCGTTATTTTCTCGGGGCCGAAGTCGCCTTACGTACTTTGGTTCTCCGCGCGTGATTACATTGGTGTCCCCGGCTACTTGTCCAGTTGTAACATGAGTTAAAGTTACTTAGCTACTTATCTTATAAGCAAGTATATAAGTAGAAATAAGTAGAAATAACTTTTTTGTATGCTTTTTTGGTATTCCACGATTATTGCCAAATTAGCACGTCCCGTTCTCCCTTTTTTTTCCGCACAGGTATCATGCATGTAGAAATGTGAGAACATTTTCAGCGTCTTTGCGCGTTTTCCTAAAGAAGTATACGGGCACGGTTTGGAAAGCTTTGTCAGGAGGCAACAGCCATGTATTGTCACTGGACGGGTGTAGTTTCCAATGTGACAGAGCTGGATTCTCAGCGGGCAGCGGCTGCAGTGGTTGGCACAAAAGAAAAAACGGCCGTGGGATTCCACCGCGCCGTGGATTTCTATTGCTTGTTGGGCCGAAAGAATCTTGTATTGACCACAAGCAAACGTGATACCCTTGCATTCGACAGAGGTTGCCACATAAGCGTCTTGGCCAAACCATGTCTGCAGGGCATGGCACTGAGCAGTTGGTCCACGCAGGACCGGAAGAAAAGAACCTCGGTTCTCATGTTGAGAGACGTCTATGTGATTCATTTCCAATAAGGCAGAAGCGGAAAATCCGTCTAACTTTGTCAACGTCTCTGCAATTCTTTTGAAGAGACGGTGTTTTCTTTCTGCAGGAAAGCAGTCCACACACAGTGTGTGTGCATCCCATTGCAGTGGGAGATGCAAAGAATAATGATGTTTGGGATGGCAGACATCGATTGAATACACAGACGCAAATTTGTTCAGGTGAACTTTTTGCAACTGTTGCATCTCGATGCTTTTCACTTGAAGGTTTCCACTGCGTTTGGCATCAGTCCAGCAGCATATCAGCGCTAACAGCGCCGTCAAACATTCGCAGTGAGGCAGCATAGCTGGAAAATCAGGCAATATGACTTCCCAGGAAAATGCAACCATCAAAGGTAGCACTGACAGAGCTTCAGATGCATCTCCGCGGAAGTCTCTTTCTTTCTGCCATCTTTTCTGTGCGAAAATTTTGTTGATGTCCAAGGTCGACTCTTTGGAGGCTGTCCAGCATTGCAGAACGTATCTGCGTACTTTATCGATGTCGCAGGAGGTCTTGTCCAAAAGAGCATTATACCAGAGCCCCAATTCTTGAGGCACTATGCCATTTGCCAGGAAGCAGTGCATGGGGTCGTACCTCAAGGATGATAATGGAATCCAGTTTCGGAGGTCTTCTTGCACTAAAATAGACGCCGACAAGGCATGCAGGTGCCATCCCAATAGCTTTTCCGCTTCTTCTCTTTCCTTGCGAGACAGCAAGGTTTCGAGGTGACGTTGGATCTGGATAAGATTGTCTTGCGTTTGCAAGTGGCAAGCATGCACATCACAGCAACTGATGTGCACGTGTTTCTGCACTTTGTCATGTCCGTTTAAAACATTTTGACATAAGAAGCATGGCTTCAGAGCAGAACTTCCTTTGCAACCGGTCAGCAAACGCAAGCCATCTGCGTCAGCTACCAGAGACACTTTGGCAATGGTGCAAAGGGTTGGTTCATCATTCAGAACAAGCGTGAAGCCATGCTGGGTTTCTTGCCTGAGCCACCGTAAATAGTGAACCAGCGACTGTGGATAGCCATTTGCGATGCTCTGCATTTCGCGAGTCCGAATGACAGCAAGTGTCATCCAAGCATCATCAGCCCAAAGCACGGGCATCTGCGCAATGGCTCCATACGTCATTGCTGCCTTTCTCTGCAAATCAGGTTGCAAAACATTACCTGGAGTTGCTTCGTCCCAAGCCAGGACTAGATGCAACTGCGGACCATGTTCTTTGAGAACATATGCCATGGACTCAGAAAAAAACTGCGATCCATCACACTTAGCTTGCAGCACGGCCGGGACAGAAGTAACAGCCATGTGGCAACATGGATCTCCGAAGGTTACCGTCGTTACGACGTCACTAACCTTTGGAAACTTCAGCCGTTTCCGTTTAGAAGTTCCACGACCTTGTCCATCATCTCGCAGATGCGCGATAATACGGCGCGCAGCGGTGGCTGTCACACCTTGAATTTCACGCAGAAATTCAAATTGCTCCGAAGGTTTAGCGTGTTGATCTAGTAGTATATTTTTTCCATGGCTTCTGTTCGATCCCGCTTTCGCTTTCATTGTTTTTACATACCTGTACACGCGTGAACCATACATGCAGCAGAAGAGACACATGACATGCTCACGGCCATCTATATAGCAATCATGGTACTTCGGTTTGCGGTGGAGGAAGGTTCTTGCACATGTTTCGTTCTTGCTTAGACTATATATCTATGTTAGATTTTCTGCGTATATATAATCCGTCGTTACATATAGGTCTTTCCTGTGTAATCAATGGCATGGCTTGCCTTTTGCGAGGTAGTAACCTACATGAATATATATATATATATACATATATATAGTATATATAATATAAAACTCACCAATTCGTGCATGAATGGAAAGATCTGCATGGAATTGGCATGCACACACCAAGCGGTTCAGCGCAACACGACTTTTCCCGGAAGCCGCAGGACCGTGCGCTCTGATCCATCTACGGCTAAAGCTTCAGTCCACATATCAGACGGAGTTTGACACAGCACCCTCACAGGGACAGCCTGTCTACGTGCGATCCACGTTTCACAACATGTTGCTGCTCACAGCAACACAGAGCCCAAAGCGAAACTGGCCTAAGGATCTACCACAAACGACAGGAACAGTCAGCAGACTCAAGGGGGGCTCTTGCCAGTTTTGCGGCGCTTGTCACCGCCCTCACTGTCGTGGCTGCGATCTGCCCTCTTCTTGGGCGACGCTTTCGCCGCAGCATTGGCCTTGGGCGCCGCCTTCGCCTTCGCCTCCTTTTTGGGCAGCAGGGAACGCAATGCGCTCTGCACTTCCGTTGCTTGCTTTAGCAGCAACTTCACATCATTGCCTTCGAACGGCAAAGCCGTCAAAGGCAGCAGATCGCCACCAGCGTCCTTCCACAGCTCGCGGGTCGACTCATGCACGTTGATGCACTCACGAGCCGCCGTCGCCCAGGTCTCGAGCTTGCCCATGCAATCATCTTTCGACTGTTTGATTCCCTCAGGAATCTCACAGCCGCTTTTCTCCACTTTTTCCAGCAACTTCGAGACACCTGTGGCCGTGCCTTGCAAGGGACCCAAGGCCTTAGCGGCTTTGTCAGCTAACGCAACGTTCTTCGCCAACAACTTCTTGCGGTCCACCTCCGGCTTTCCTTTCTTATCGGACACACTGCCTTCCGCAGCCGGCAAATCCAATTCTCCATCGGATGACGCCTCTGCGTTGGCAACGTTATCCTTCTTCTTTTTTCCACCTTTGCTTTTCTGCCCCTCTCTCTCATGTCGCAGGACTTGCTCCTCAATCTTTGCATACTCTTCTCCCCACGACAATTCCCGCACGGGGACAGCGTACACTTGCGTGCCCAGTTCATCGGAAAACCGATTGGGACACGCTTCCACGAGGGTCTTGTCCCAGCCTTGGTTAACCCAGACCGACAGAGGTAACTCCTTTTGGGTGCACGTCGCACGAAAAGTGGAGATCCTACGATCTGTCAGAGATCTCACAAGTGTGGCCCGCACGGTGACCCACTGAATGCGACCTCCCTGCTTCTCCTTTTCCTTCGCAATGGCGCGAAAGAAGGAATGCGTCTCGGCCGGACTGAAATCTTTAAGTTCAGTCCTGTCGCCTAAGTTGCGCTGCAGCATCGCTTTTGCTGACCAGCAACCAGTGCAAAAGAAGGAGCGACCATGCATCCTGCCCGCAGCAGAAGCATGCTCCAGGCCGCACAAGCGACATACGCGACGGTCCGCCATGCCGCAAGCCACCTTGCAAAACAAAGGTCCGCACACTAACCTGTCCAAAAACCCAAATGGCTGCGGAGAAGTGCAGTCGAAGGGCTTGGCAGACAGCAGAGTTAAGTGAGAGAGACCATATATCCGTGAAGGAAACTGCAGTCCAGTTGACCTATCTAGAAGCAGCGAGAGCATTGATTGTGTCTATAATCCATTTCGGAGCAGCCCATTCGGAGGAAAAAAAAGCCAAAATCAGAAAATTCCGGACACATTTCCCTTTAAATTATAATTAAAACCGGACACATTTCCTTTTTCCGGACACATTCGGACACATTTCGGACACATTTCAAAACGACCGATTCAAAGGCACCAACGCCTCCCTCATCGATTCTAGCTGGCACTCAGCCTGGTACAACCACGAGGCTTCTGGCAGACTGTTTTCAGTCTCCTCCTGCCAGCGCAGCCGCAGCTGCTCCAAAGCTGGGATCGCTTCTTCCACCTGCCGCAGGTGATATGCACCTACCCTTTCCACAAAGCGCGGCCAGTGCCCATCCCAGTCTGTGTTCCGAGTCCAGAGACGACAGACGTCTGGAAGGACAGCCATTTCCTCAGACATGACTTTCTCAAGCATGCGATTGCATCTTTCAATGCATTTCGCACAGTCCAGCTGCCCTTGCGAGTGCGCCATGCCTTCTGCTTGATCCAACAGTTCCACCACAATTCTCCAACCATCCTTCCACCGGTCATCACCCTCCGGCAGAACTTCCGGAGTCGTGGTGGTTGCTTTCAAGCATGCACGAAAGACCCGCAGTCTTTCTTTTGAGATGCAAAAGTCGGTAGGAGGCATCTCGAACACCAAGCGGAAAATCTACATATATGGAGACCAAAACTGCTGCGACACGACAGAGTTAATTTCCCTCGATTGATAACATCAGTGTGGTTTCCTTTTAATGTATATAAGCATGTTCTTTATACATGGTTATTTCTGAATATGTCTGTCTTCCCCCTTTTGTGACCGAGGCAAATTCCACATGACCCTGTCCCTTTATTCAGCACAGCACCATTTTGTCCGACATGTCCGGTCCTCGCGCTGTATACCCATTCCTACATAGTCGTCACCGCGCCTCAGACTCAACGAAAGTTGATGGTCACATTGTGACGCCGACTCTTGCGTCGGCCTGCGCTGGTGCTCGAGGAGGAGACATCTCTGCGACGTCCCTTGTCCTTGCGAGACTTCTTCTCAGAGCGCTTCTTCTCGGAGCCCTGTGCTTGGCAATCCTGCTCCAAGACTTCCGGAGGCCCGCGAACGGACGATGCCACACTGATGCCACGGTCCGGCACTGCACTCCTCGCAGGAGCGCTCAGTTGTCCCGCAGACACCTGCCATGCCTCCCCTCTGTCACGACGGGACTTTACATCTGCACCGATTTGTCTGGCCTTCTCCCATGCTCCCGCTTGTTCTTTCTGATACGGAGTGAATTTCTCCCAGGCTTGCACGGCCAGACAATACGCGTTCAGCCATTGGTGTTGGTCCAAAGCGGACGCGTTGCCAGACACTTGGGTCTTGCAGATCTTGCAGGTTTGCCGCTCGGAGCGGCCTTTCTTGTTCTTACCCTTTCCTTTTGCACCCTGCACTTGTAGATCCTGCTTTGCTTCACTCTGGGATGGCCCCGCAGGCTTTCCAGGTGGACTCACAGGACGTTCTCTCCCACGATCTGGTTCTTCCGCCGGCTCGGCCTTCGACCGGCGCGTGGGAGAGTGCTTGCCAGTAGACCTGCGGGACCTTGACCTATGGGAGCGGCGACGACGGCGGTCCCGTGTGCGATCACGGTCGCGCTCGTCTGCTTCACTGCGAGATTTCTGTTTCGGAACCAATTTCGCCTTTTTCTCTTTGTGGTGTTCTCTCTCCTTTTTCCTCGGATCCTCCTTGGCAGGCGACGTATCCGCAGACACGTCTTCCTCTGGAGAGGATTCTTGCCGCGCAGGCATGATCGGCGAAAAGGGAGACGCCGCGGCAACCATGCACCTGACAGGTTCAGAATTGCATACATGTGAGACATGATCTGTCATCCCATGAAGGTGACTATACAGTATATATATATTTTGGGTCCTGAATGTATACCTGTACATATGAGACGAAACGTCCATGTTGTAAGAGAAGGCCGCACGCAGAAGCACGCATGGAAAGACAGCACTCAGGTATCTTATACTGTGCAACACCACGCGGGTGTGCATGACGCACCGCGCAGGTGCGTCGTGGAAACCACCGCGCAGGTGGAATCATATCCTCACCACGCAGGTGAGGAGCAAACATCACGCAGATGTTTGTTCACAGCCACCGCGCAGGTAGCTAGCTCCACCGCACAGGTGTGCATGAGCATTCACGAAACATCGCGCAGATGCTTCTTGCGACCACCACGCAGGTAGTCCTGACACCGAGCAGGTGCCACATGTAGCAGTGTCATCCCGCAGATGACAGCGAAACATCACGTAGATGCTTCTTGAGACCACCACGCAGGCGGCCGTGACACCGCGCAGGTGCCACCCCGACTTCTGTCATCCCGCAGATGACAGCGAAACATCACGCAGATGCTTCTTGCGACCACCACGCAGGCGGCCATGACACCGCGCAGGTGCCACCCCGACTCGTGTCATCCCGCAGATGACACTGAAACATCCCGCAGATGCTTCTTGAGACCACCACGCAGGTGATCGTGACACCCCGCAGGTGCCAATTACTGCGACGGAAATCAGAGTGGGAAGTGGATATCGAAATGTTCATGTTCTAACACCAATGGTTTACGAAACCAGCTCAAAGAAAAACCCAATTCGAAATGACATCCAAAGATCATACATACAAACATAAACGCGAGACATATACCGCAGGCCTCAGGTCGGAGACGCGGCGGCACCCAACGGACACTTGAGCCTATAAAGACATGCATCCACGCACAACCCTGCTGTCACCCACGCAGAGCAGAGACATTACATGTATTACATTCTGTCCATACTATATAAAGACATGTGATAATGTGCCATGACAAAATGAAATCCACACATCATGAAAGCACCCTTTCACGGAGAACGCGTCAAATGTCTCATTTGTCAATCATTTGTATAACCCCTGCGCGCCCAACAGCTCAGAGTGCAAAAGGCGCGATGATAGCACCTGGAGCAACCACCTTTGTATCGCTGCAATACATCCTTTGGGATCTTCTTCAACAAGGTCTCCCTGCGATCATTGTATCCCCCCTCCGACATGCTTCCCGCGGAAGACGATGCCGCAACAGCAGCGGGACGCTTCAAAATCTTTTTCACAGAAGCGGCAGGCCTTGCCATACCCTTGCACTTGGCTTTCGAACGTATGGCAGGCTTCTTGCTTGGCGTTACCTCTGCATTTCTTCCGGGCACTCCTTTTCCTTTCTTTTTCAACTCACCCCGCAAAGCAGCGATTGCAGCTTGCGGCCCGCAGGTCTCGCTCTCGACTTTGTCCGGAAGCTCTTCCTTTGCCTCACAGGGCTGCGTGGCAGCAGCAACAGGCTTCGTGTCTTCCAAAGCCAACGCAGGCGCTGCCACGGTCACCTTTGCGTCCCGAGGCTCCAACATCCGAAAGCCTGGTATGTCAACCTCGGTCTGTCGAGATTGTGTCTGCACACGCGCCACTAAGGTGGCTGCAGCATGCACCAAAGCAGCAGGATCAACTTGACCACTTGCCGGCAACACTGACATGGAAGACATGCCTTCCTTAGGTGCCCTCAAACGGAAATCAGCGATGACCCGCCGCAACCTTGCTTTATCCATAATTTCCGGGGAACCCGGAATCAATCCCGTCGGGAATGCAGCAGCAAACAAAGAAACTGGAATCTCCTCTGGATTCTCGGGCAAAATTTCCAAACGGACACTGGCAGCTGCTGCCTTATTCAGCCAACGGCGCATGCGCTCCTTATGTGCCCTCAGGAGCTTCACCTGGTCCGATTCTGGCCACGCCTCAACATTGTCCGCATAGAAGGACAATGCCACCAAAGCGCCATAGGACGCCTCCGTTGGATTCTTCAGACCCAAAGTGGCAGCAAAATTGGTCAAGAGCTCAAGTTTATAAACTCCAGCGGCACGAGATTCTAATTTCTGCCACCATTCCTTCGATAAATAGTTCGGCAAAGCGGTGAAGTCTTGCAAGCCAGCACGGCTTGCCAGATCCTCCTGTGACTCACTTTGCTCGGCAACCAATGCCTTCAACTCATCTAAAATTCCTACACTCCAGACATCGGAGAAGGACTCCATGATGCGACCCGCCATCTCCACAGAGATGACGTGCTTCTGCACAATCGGCTTGAGTCGTTCCAATTGTTTTCGCTGCAGCTCATCGTAATGAGGTAGGGTCTTTACACCATGCAAAAACTTTTGGGTCGAAACTATTTCTTTCAAAACTTGAGCCATGACGCCTACGATCATACAAAAACGATAAAAAAAAACAACCTACTTAGTAAAACCTTCAAAATCCAAGAAAAACACAAGTAGCTAAGTAAAAATAACTTTTTCATGTTCCACCACCTTACAATACTTATCCCTACTTATAAGTAGCTAACAAACTTATAAGTAACACCAAAAAATCTCCTACTTAGTTTTACTTATCACACTATCTCCAGACTTATGCCATCGGCAAGTCTACTTAAAGTCAAGGTATAAGTCCACAAGTAGCAAGGGACACCAATGTATACAGTTACGAAGACATGTTCGGTATGATCATATGCCTTCTGTCATTTCTCGCTCTCTCAGGTCTTGCAGCTGACGAATGGTACTTCATCCTCGTCGACGTCGTCCAAGTCTGACTCTTCCTCTGACTCTGACTCCTCGTCGGCATCAGAAGAAGAGCAATGGCAAGGAGTACCGAACCCGTCTTTAGGCGTTGCACCTGAAGTTGATACTGAGTACGAGTACGTGCCCAACCCGGCCCTCAACATTGCCCCCCCCTCGCCTGTAGGTGGCGTCGTGGACAGTCCAGAGGAGGTTGCAGGATCCAATGGGAGCGCAAGTGTGGCATCTTGGAATGAGGGTGTGCTGGGTGCCGGCAGCGCAGGAGAGCAGGACAACGGGCAGACTCTGGAACGTCCACTGAAAATCCAGAGGTGCAGCTTGTGTCATGACTTTGATGATTTGTTGGAGACGTATCTTGAAGCGGCGGACGAGTTGGAGAAAACACAGCAGAAAGTGCTGGAGTTGCAGGCCATTTTAGCATCGCAGCAGAACCGTACAGGATAGAGGGGTCTGCTTCGAGCCTGCGAGAGCGGCTGAGCCAGAGACATCGGCGGCGGATGAAAAAGATTGCGCATTCGCGAAGACACGGAGCACGATGCAAGACACATTGCCATGTAACCTTTGAAACAGGGAAGGGGAAGGTGGGAGGATAAGTTCGAAGTGTAGCAAACTTAATAAGTTTAGACTTGGTTTCAGACTTGGTTTCAGACTTGGTTTCAGACTTGATTCCAGACTTGAGTTTATACTTAGTTGACTGTGTCTGCCAGCACTCGTCTGCTTCGTTCCCATTGCTTCTGCATATCCATCTCTTCTGCAACGCTTCTACGCTCATAGTATCGTGCCCCCTCTGTGCGCCTCGCTGGGTCTAGTCTCTCTGTGTCCTCACCATGGCGACTGAGATCATCGATGAAGCGATGCGGGTCTACGGTGGGAAGCAGTGGCGCTTTGAAAGTTTGGCGGCCCCGCGCTGTGAATCCAAAACAAGTGCCAGCATCGAGAACCCCATGAGCATATCTGACTTCCTCTCTTGCTGTCGTCCACTCAATGGTCTCAGAGCAGCTACAATGATGTTAGTGGATGTGCAGCAGGATGTGGAGAATTGTGGTTCTGCCGAAAATGTTGCAGCGGTCTGCCAGGAGCAAAGGATCGAGAGTCTACCAGCTGCATTGCAGTTTGCTCATGCCTTACCAGCTCACTCAAAGGTTGGGTGTATTGCCATGGAGAAAGGCCACGGGAAATTGGATGTAATCAAGCTTGTGACTTTCCAAGACAAGATGGCGATTCGGGACGCCACGAAAATTCCTGCAGGATCTGCCTACGTTCATTTCTCTCGTCCAGGTCCGTGGGCTGTCAAGAAGGCTTTCCAATCCTTATTGGACCGCCTGCCTGGACATCATGTGCACTGGGGCACAGTGACGAGATGGGAGGCACAAGCGAAGAATAGTGCAAGCTCTTCATCGACATGGTCCCCAGACACTGACACTTTACTCCAAGGCGTGGCCTTTATCAATGACCATGCGCCTGAGACGGATGCCAACAATGAGCAGTATACATGGATTTTACTCAACATCCGAGAAGATGCGGAGAGTTGGTTGGCCAGAAGGCAAAGTGAGGATCATGGCACAAAACAAGTCCAAGGCTTCCAATGGTGCCACATTGCAGAAGGGCTTCCCCTTGACCACTTTCTCATTGAAACCCTTCTTAGCTGAGAAGTTATTGCCTGTCCTGTACCCACTTTTCGTCTGCTACGGGGTCGTAGCTTTGGGCTGGCCCGGGGTTGGCAAAACTCCTGCCTTGATTGCTGTGATTCTTGCTATGGGCAGATATCATATCCACAGGTTGCAAGAAGAAGATGCTGTGCCAGGATGGAGAAGAGCCAAGTCACTTGATAACTTTCGGCATCAAGTGGCCAATGTGTACGAGGGCATCTTCCTGGACGACCCCAACCGTGAGAATGTCTCCATGGCCGACCTCAAGTCCTTCTTGACTGTGGAAGAAGAGCAAACTACGTCGGGTCGCTACAATGACGCAAAGCTCACGAGGAATTGCATGAGAGCTTATGCGTCGAATGACTTGGACCGTGAGGATGAGCCATTAGATGACTCACGCATCTTCATCACGGGCGAGGAGTTCATGAAGATGACCAGACGTCTTTTTGCAGGGGACAAGCAGGCTGACGTCCTCGCTTGCTTGAAACGCTCCGTGGTTTTTCTTGTGGGGCAACATGCTGTCTACCTTCGGCTTCCCAATCAGGATCCAGAGGCCCCAGTACATCGAATCCAGGTGGATGAGCTGCACAAAGACCTCCTCTCCGAAAAGGACAAGCCGCTCTATTCCAAGTACAAGCTCGGTATCGTGGAGTATGGCCCTCAGTGGGAACAGGAAACCCAGCAAGAGGTCCGCACAATCTCTCTGGGCATGGAAAAGTTTGCCGCCGGACGACCGGAAGTCTACATCAAAGATGCCAACGAGAAGATCGAAGCCGAGCTGTGGCGCGCCCGCCTTGCACAGTCAGTCCGTCTCTCTGACAGGCCAGAAGGAGAATCGTCTCAGGAAGAAGAAACTGTTCTGCCGCCTCCGCCAGTCATCATTCCAAATCCGGCCTTGCGCTGCCATCGGATTGGGCAGTTCCACTATCCACCTGCCAAGCGTCTGAGAACCAAAAGTCGACCAGAGGAGGCTCCTGCAGATGGTTCATCAGCCGACTTGGAAGCCTTGGCCCAGGCTGCTGAGATGGATGCGGTAGAAGAGTGGCAAGAATCTACTGGTCCAGATGGAGATGACTTCGAGGCGGACACAGAGGCTGCAATCTTCCTCCATGAGTGAGCCGGGAATGCCGTCGTGTGGCATGTACATATAGTACAATATGGGGAGCGACATCTGCTCACAGTAGCGGGCGATAAAAAGAAGCTGTGCGTGTTGCTGTTGGGAAGACATAAGCAAGATAACATAGAACGTGTGTACGTGCTTGTCTTGCAACAATCATGCCATCCCAGCAGTTGGCAGCATTCGACGGGCAATATAAACATATGAAGGAGCTTGTGTCACTTCACTGGTCCAATGTGGTCATCGCATACTTGTAACCGATCAGCATTGTTATGTTTTCTTCTACCAGAAGCTTTTGGATCTTAGAGAAACAAGCATTCCCATAGTAGAGAGTATGGCGCCGCGCTTCAACCCCATCATTGCGAAGAAGGGCAAGACACGGCAAGTTTTGAAACGGCCTGCTTACCTCAAGCCAAAGAAGAAGGCGAATTGGCAACGAGTTCCTGATGTTCGTGATCCTGAAGCTGTGAAGCAGGTGCGGGGGGATCGAGACTCATGGAAAAGGTCATTGCCAGAGCTCTTGACATGCTCGCCCCGTCCGTTAGTGGAGCTGTTGCGAAAAGATGGTTTGCTACCTCGTTTGGAAGGGTCCGTTTGTCCTCGCTGTCAGCATGGAACCCTGGGGAAGTTGGCTCCTCAGAGACAGGGCGGCCCACCGAAACATAGGTGCAATGCCAAAAACTGTCAGGCATATATCAGTCCTCACTATGCCCATCCTTTGTTTGTGGACCATTGGGGCAAGTCACATACTCCACTTTCAACGCAGGCAGCCTTGCTGCTGCTCTTGCTGAACCGTGTGCCACATGCAGCCATCCACCGCCTTATGTATGTGAATCACAAAGCCATTGAAGACATGCAGAAGAGGCTGTATACACTACGTGAAGCTTACGTCCTGGAAAAGGAGAAGGAGATTTGCTTTGGACGAGGACATGAATGGGCAGATGTGGAAGCTGACGAAGCCACGTTTGCCAAAAAGATTGTTCAAGGGCAAGTCCAATGGGAGCAGTGGTGTGGCATAGTGCAGCGAGGCAAGCCGGGTACGCTTGTGCTGCACCGCCTGAAACCTCCGCTGGCAGCACTGCGCGCTCCGGGCCCGGGAGCAGTGCGCAAAGTCGAGTGGAAGCCAATTGCCAAAAAATGGCTGGAGGGAAAAAATGTGATTCTACACACAGATTCTGCGAAGAGTTACCGGGCACAAGTCCCAGGTATGTTACACGACCGTGTCGTACACAAGAAGACACGAGTAAAGGTGGGCAACGAATTTCGATGGGTGGCTCCGAAGTATGTCGAGGTCCAAAAGCATCGTCTTCCTGGCGGCAAAGTCATGCAGGTGAAGTCCGGTACGCAGATCGTCGACCGATGCTGGCGTTTTTTAAAAGAACGCGTGACCTTGAACCAGCAGGCATGCGTCGGGGCTCGCATGCTTTGCATGCAATTGAGATCGGGCCAGTACGAGTACTGGAATCGAGGAAAAGACCTGTGGACATGCACAGGCGCACTTGTACAATGGTATCTGGGGTAGATTACCGAGTGCGAGCGTGCGATGGCCAAAAAAAGGATGCTTCTTCTCTTCGCTATATCGTGGGAGCTACTGCAGTTGCAGGGGTCTTCGTCGAACCGTAGGCAAGTGCCACTCTTTACCTCAATATAATGTTATGCCTCAACAGCTTCATCCTTTTGAATCCACCCTTCCTAAAGTGTCAAGCACGTGAACCACGTGGTTCGTGCAAAGTACTGGCTGTAGTTTGCCCAAGTGAGAACTTGTAACGCAGCACTTTGTGCAAAGCCTTCATAGCTTCATCCTTTTGAACCCACCCTCCCTCAAGCATGTAACCGTGATTCGTGCAAAGTACTTGCTGTAGTTTGCCCAAGTGAGAACTTGTAACGCAGCACTTTGTGCAAAGCCTTCATAGCTTCATCCTTTTGAACCCACCCTCCCTCAAGCATGTAACCGTGATTCGTGCAAAGCACTTGCTGTAGTTTGCCCAAGTGAGAACTTGTAACGCAGCACTTTGTGCAAAGCCTTCATAGCTTCATCCTTTTGAACCCACCCTCCCTCAAGCATGTAACCGTGATTCGTGCAAAGTACTTGCTGTAGTTTGCCCAAGTGAGAACTTGTAACGCAGCACTTTGTGCAAAGCCTTCATAGCTTCATCCTTTTGAACCCACCCTCCCTCAAGCACGTGAACCACGTGGTTCGTGCAAAGTACTTGCTGTAGTTTGCCCAGGTGAGAACTTGTAACGCAGCACTTTGTGCAAAGCCTTCATAGCTTCATCCTTTTGAACCCACCCTCCCTCAAGCATGTAACCGTGATTCGTGCAAAGTACTTGCTGTAGTTTGCCCAAGTGAGAACTTGTAACGCAGCACTTTGTGCAAAGCCTTCATAGCTTCATCCTTTTGAACCCACGCTCCCTCAAGCATGTAACCCACATGGTTCTTGCAAATGACTTGCTGCCAGCACAGATGTAGTTACGAAGAAAGGAAGGAATTAACAGTAAAAAGTAGGTATCAGGGGGGGGGTTGGCATATATATATATGTATATACCCTCTGGAAATTTCACGAGAGATCAGTTGGGTCATGGAATTCACCAATTCACATGGAATTCACCAATTCACCGACGCGACCAATCCGTCACAGTGAGGTCAAAAGATGTCAATTTTGCATCTGCCATCGGGC